TGGTCCATTAGTTGAACATTTTATGAATGGCAGTCGTACTTTGTTTGTTTGTTTGCTGGCAATCGTTTTCAATAAAATTTATAAATTTTTGTAATAAATTACATGTTTGTTTGCTGCACCAATAGTTGTTGTTCCGAAATTCGACTGCCCTGTGTGTGGCATGGCATTCACCCCGAGCCCGACACCAGCCAGTATTTACTTCAATGGAAATCGTGAGTTAAATTAAAAGTGTCTTTGGGGAGTCCCACTGCAACGCTGCAACAGCGAGGAGCACGTGCATTCATTTTTAATTGAATTGCCAGATTGTGCATGCATCAGGGCAGGGGGTTGGGGTGCGGGACAAGTAGTTTACTCTGATTTCGTCTCCGGCACTTGGTTTATTTGAAAAATTATGACTGTTTAAAAAGCAATCAGCAAAGTTTATGTTATGCAATCGTGCCTCACGTGCCCTGCCACTCCATTCGATTGCGAATCGATCTGATTGCAAAATGTTCGGCAGTCATTTGTGGCTAGACGCGAACGCTGGTTTGTATTTAAATATAAAAATAATTTAATTTACGAATGTCAAACACATTGCATATTTGATTGATAATTTTTTTGAAATGCAGCGAATGGATTCGTGAGTGGATTTCATGGAAAGTTATGGGTTTTGGTCGACACAATGTTGTCTTTTCGTAATTTATTTAAATGTATTTCAAATCGTATTTACAGGAATTATGAAAAGAATAGTTTTCAATGAAAGCAAATCAAATATTGATTTCTAAAGTTCCATTCAAAAATGCTTGATCAAAATCAATTGAAGAGGTTGGTTAGATGTTGAAGCGTGTTGTAATTGCATTAAGCGCCGTAGACATTCAAATTGATGCAGTATCCTCCATTAATACTGAATTAAAATATAAATCGGTGATTTTCCACACAAATTTAATAACACAATGGAACAGTGTCACACCAATACAAGGGAAAGTTTCCTTGTGTTAGTGTTATGCTTTTTGTTTTTTGCTTTTTTCATTTAACTGTGAATTGCTCATTGCGGGCAGACCTCAAGCCACGACTTGGCCGTACATTTCCGGTTCGTCGGAGTGCGGTTGCGAATTATTGTGCCAATGTGTCGGCGCCTTTTTTTCGTGGGGCGTTAAGTGGAAAATCGAGTTGTTTGCAGCAATGGCGGTTTTCAACTTTCAACCTAAAATTTGGTTAAATTTCATTTGGTTTCACGTGAATTCAGTTGGGGTTTTTACACCTCCATTTCGAGCTATTAAAATCTGCGGGATTCCCTCAGCTATATCTTTTTGTTCGTCGCTTGTTTCGTAGTGGAGAAAAAGGTAGCTCCGAACACAGACATTTGTTGCTTTCGCATACGCAAACCGCAATTGAGTGATTTTGCGTGTCTGTAGGTGTGTGAGTGTGTGTGCGTCCGTGTGTGTGAGCATGAGAATGAAAGTGATTGTGTAAAAGTGCAGCTGGTTTAATTGGCGGTTGACGGTATTGTACAATCATTTCATCAGGATTGTGTGTGCGCGTGTGTGTGTAAGTGTCAATGTGTGGAAAATTGTTATATTGCCAGACAAAGCTGAAAGTGGTGAGGGGTGCCGTATGGTGGTTGGGGCAGAGGATATTCGCAGTTATTTAGAATTACAGTTGGACACATTATTTTGGTTTTGTAATAAGCCAATTTTCGTGACCATGAAATGTTGTTATAATTATTTTATTGGATAATTATTTGTTATCGTCGAAAAGGTCAGAATAAAAACAACATATGTGTGTGTGTATTGAGAATTGTTTTATTTCACCGAAACTGTAGTAATAAAATCTCTGACTTTAGGAAAAACTAAAAACTATATATGAGACAGATTCGAAACATTAAAAAAAACTTGAATCGAACTTGGAAGGTTTCTGGTGATTAATTTGCATATGCTTAATGGCAATAAGTTCGAAATAAATACTACTTTACAGAGAACGGCCTTTGTAAGCCATCATTCACACCAAATTTGCCTGATGAGCCGCTTGACCAACGGCGAAGAGAGTCACATAGTGGTGGGTGTGTGATAGTGTTTATCTGGCTTTACATTGCACTGCAAATTTCAGATCATTAAGCTCGTCTCGAAAGAGAAATAAGCACATAAATCATAAACATATCATCTTCGCCTTAACAAGGCAAAACTCAAGAATTGACAACAAATTTTAGCTCCCAAAAAATTATTAAGTTGCATTTATTTAGCCAAAGGATACAAATTATTTGTGAATTATGAAGCCATTTGTTTTAATGCAAAATAAATATTTCAAAAACTGAAAATATGTCATATATGTTTGTTTTTCTTAAGAATATTTGTCCTATTGTGGGATCGCCATACTAACTTTTCATCTAGTGTTGCAGAAATATTGCTATGTTAAATTGTTTAGGAAAAATTGGGAAGTTATTTCATTATTAAAGCTATGATTATTTCAAGAGAACTGGGGGAAAACCTTGCATCTTATGAAAGTTATGATCATTATTTTTTAATTGAAAAATACTAGGTTTGAAGAAAAATTAGACTTTTAACTATGAATTAACCTATGTTGTATATATGTCTCAAAGTTGGATTCTATTCACAACTCGATTCGTTTATTATATACAGGGTGAGTTGAAGCAACTGCAACCAAATTCAGACTGCTGAAATTTCTAAGCCACTCTTCCGACAGTTGTTATAATTGTTAAAGGGACAGCTCATTGTAAACAGCGTACAAAAGAATTTTGGTGAGAATTTTCCGGAAAAAAAATTTAAATGTGAATAAATCTTTTGTGTTTCGTTACCGTGATACTGGTAGTTTAGCCCGACGTCAAGGAAGTGGTCGGAAGAAAACAGCAACATCAGCAGAAATGGTTCGAAAAGTAATGAAGCGACTTGATCGAAATCCGCGTCGCAGTGGCCGAAAAATGGCTCGTGAGCTTAACATATCGCAATATTCCATTCGGCAAACAGCTCGGGGTAAAGCCATTGCAATTCCAAAAAGTGCAAGAACTTACACCGCAACAGAAAGAAAATAGACTCAAATGAGCTAAGGAGATGCTTCGCTTGGCCAGAAGTGGTGAACAGTCTATAAACAAACAAAATTATCGTGTTTACTTGCCAAAGAGGTCAGCTGAAAATGTACACCTTCGGTTGGCCACCAGAACTCAAGCGGCGCCCATTGTGATGGTGTGGGCCGCCATAACAGCGGATGGTCGCTCTCCGCTCGTATTGATCGACCATGGCATCAAAATAAATGCCGAATATTATCGTGAAAATATTCTGGAGGGTGTATGAAAGCCTTGGGCACGCAAACATTTTTGGCTCAGACCTTGGACATTCTAGCAGGACTCACCACCACTGAAGAATGGTTACAAAATGAGTTTCCTCGCTTCATTTTCAGCGCACAATGGCTACCAAAATCTTCGGATACCAATCCTTTGCACTATTGTGTCTAGAGTATTTTGGAAAGAAAAGTTGACCCTAGAAAATACCAAAGTGTCGATCATCTCAAGCAAGTGCTTCACCGGGAATGGGCCAAAATACCGCAGAGCAACATTCGGGCAGCGTGTGGCGGTTTCATTGGCCGTTTGAAGGCCGTAATTCGTGTCAAAAGTGACCAATTCGAACAAATCTACACTTATTCTAAAATGTGATGCTATTTCCGACATTTTTTGCTTTCATTCAATAAAATAAAAAGAAAGTGTAGAAATTAGGGCATTTGACTTTGTTACAGTTTTTTTATCTCACCCTGCATATATCGCAATAGGTATAATTGAGAAAAAGATGGAACGCTGACTTTAAATAATATTTTGTTTCAAATTTCACGCTTTGACGGAAAACTTAAAAAATACCTTCCGATTGCGAACTTTTTGTGTAATGAGATACAAATTAAGAGACAGGCTTAAAGTCGAGGGCGTCCATCCTTTGGATATGCACGAATTGCATTAATATATATGTAAATATGTTCTGTAATTAAATCTGCTACATAAATCCACTATTTTAACAACAAATTAATTTAAATTAAATATTTGATGGTCTTAACGATAAATCTGAATGAAATGCAATTATGTTCCACCGACTTTTATTGCTGCTTCCCCACGTAATACATAATATAATATATAAATCTAGGTAAATTCTTAGAAAAACATTTATCTTTGTTTCATGGTCTTTTCCTTTAGGTACATTTCACCATTAAAAATTTTAGTTTCTTCTTAATTACACGCAAATTTGTAATTAAGTCCGCATAATGTCAACCACCAAAAGACAATATCATTTAAAGCATTTTTAAATGCTTGTGTTGATAGCCAAGACATGTGGATTTTAATGGCTTTAACGTAAATAACACGCTTTATGGCAGGATTTTGCTGCGTTAATTGTTGGTGCTTTTGTGCGCGAGATATCCATTAGAATGTAAATTATCGTTTCCATAGTTTGCGACTGAGTTAAATCTTTCTAAATCCATCTACCCGACATAGAGACTCTGTTGATACATTGAAGTTAAATTTCTGTTCTCGCCAACCATTGGCCATGCCGTTTCCCCTTGAAAGTACCCACTCTTGAACGTAAAACATCAAAGTCTTAATGAAACAGTTAGCCTCCAAGTAAAAAGTGTCTTCTGCTGAACTTGAAAGCGTGTTGTTGTATCTCGCAAATGGCAAAAGGTGCAAGTTTAAGATATAAATTACTAGCTCTCCGCATGTGGATGGATTCAGTAATTTGTTGCAATTTCAGTGCTGCGTCCATGTCACAATGAAATATTGAATGGAATAATAACATTTGTAGCACACACACACAAACACTCACAGGCATTCACATCAAGCAAGTGACTGTCGTGCCACCGAGAAAAAGAGCCGCCATTTAAGAGAATGTCGGAATTACTCTTCTCGTTGTGTTCTAGAGGAAAAGGAAAATACTGGGAAATTTCTTCAGCATCCATGCTTGCTTGCATATCTTTTCAGTTTTCCCCAAATGCTGCCGCATCCACGAAATCAGTTCGTGTTGAATGCTAGAAGCGTAACGTTGTGGTCGCACGGTGTATCCCCACCTCAACAAGGAAACGTGACTCTTTTCGTCGCTGCTCTGGAATTCAATGAAATCTAACACAAATACGAATCTTTTGTTTGGTCGAGTGCTCGTAAGCGTGAATACTTCTTTAAGATACATATACGTATTCAATGCGAGTGTAGTTGTGTGTGTGTGCGTCTAGGTCGTTGCTAAATATTGATGTGCGTGTGTGTGTGTGTTTTTGAAACAGTTGCATTCCTCGAGGCAAAGAAGCTGCCGTTCGCATTCACTGGGAACGTGAGAAGAAGTGTATTAGAAATACATTGAAGCCCCCTTCGAGATAATGTCCATGAATTATGTGGCATCCTCAAGGTCGGCTTAGTTAGTTGGGTTCTAGAGAGAAAGAAAATTACATGTGTATGACCAAAACAAACAACAAATTTGTCTCGTCCCACGTTGTGATGTGCAAACATTGAATATTGTTGTAGTCAACAATTTTTATATTTGTTAAATCGGATCGGATCGGTGTGAGTGTGTGTGTTTGTGTGTGCGTTGAACGCATTTAAAGGAAAGCACAGCCAAATAAAATCACTTTTTGGCCGGCAGCTCTGAAAAATTCTTTCGAAATTACGTCGCGTGGTAATATTTCGCTAAAAGAGAAACAACATTTCTTTTTTATTTCGTTTCTCGGATTTGGGCCGTTCGGCGTGAGTGTGTCAGAGTGCTGTCTGTGCCTTCATAATCGTTGTCGTATTTTTAGTAAATGGTGACTCGCAGCGCGCCGCGACTTTTTGACGACATTTCGTTTTTAGTTTAGAAATAAAATTGAAATTGTATTAATCCAAGCAAGCCAACACAACGACATCAACAACAACAACGACAAGAAAAGCGGAACAACAACAATTTGCACAAATAGTTTTGTATTCAATTATTATTATCTATTTATAAAACAACACAATTTTTGTATAAATAAATATTTGCAGAGAGAGAGAGAGAGATAAATCAAATAACAAGTGTATATTAAATGAATCTTGGCATAATTAAGTGTATGGAATTTTCAAATAATCCTAAACCGAACATGGATGCTGTATAAATATACGCACACATGCATATGTATGCGGGTATGCATAAATACAAGCAAAACAATTTGCTTAGTTTCATCAACACAAAAGCACAACTAAATGTTGTCATAATTCCAAAATCCAAATGAGTATTTCCAGTTCATATCCAAGCAAGTGTATCCTAAAACTAAACCAAACGACGAAAACAGTCAACCCACCAGCTATTCCATCCAGCCATCCAGCATAGAAGAGCTCAAGCGTACATAATAAATAAATAAATAAATAAATACTAAAAACTACATAAATATTTATATCACATACTCTGGTCGACGCCACCGTCGTCTTCGTCGCTGTCATCCCCCTCACAGTTGTTGTTGTCGTCGACGACGATAGATCATTAACGGCAGTCGGTCTGTGCTGGCTGGCCCTGCTTGCCTGTCTGGCCGAACTCGAAGTCGGTCCATGTGTGTGAGCACCAGTGCGTTTGGCTGTGATAGTGTTAGTGCCACCGCCAGTCTTATTGGCATCATTTTTAAGAATCTAGTTCAAGTGCCAACAAAATAATAAAGTGTAGAAAAAGTCCATGTCAAGAAGGCGAAGAATAAATGCCGCCACATAAAAAGTAGTGAAAAATTTCGTAAAAAGTGTGAAGAAATAAATAAATGAAAACACACCAAAGACATTGTGCCCACTTTTCGCTCCTCTCTGTCGTTGCTGCTATTGCCAGTGCTACATTGAATGGCTATAGACCCAAGTCTATATTCTGTTCAGTTCAGTTCAGTTCAGCTCTGTTTATGTGTTGCTCTCACTTTCTTGTGAATGAATGACCTCCACATAATTCTAAAGAAAGAAAGAAGAATAAGTAAAAGAAAAAGAAAACAAACAACATAAACGTAGACCCTGCCTGCACCTGCTGCCAATGAGTGAACGCCATCTAAATTTCCCCCGGCTGCTGCAGCACCAACATTGATGTCCACAACAACAGCGCCACCGACAAGAGCGCCAATATTGAGACCATTCGTTCGAGCGGCCTTGGGAGACATACCGGCGAAACCATTAGCACTCTGCCAGTCAAACATTCATTCATAGAGGCAGGCCACTTTCGTCACTGCACCGGATGGAATCTTGGGTATGTCAACTATTCACTACAAAGTAGATACTTTTAATTGTGTTCCTTGGAAGTCTTTGGTTTGCCTGTGGGCTGTATGAATGACTTTTTTATATGTGGCGTAGGTTTGCCTTCTTTTCCAGTCACTCTTCTCGTTTCTGTTAGTTTCCTTCCATTCCAATTAATTAAAAGAAACTCTTAGGGTGGATGCTTGTCAGTCATAAGGTCAAGGGAAGATATAGCTAGCTATTCACGAATGATTCGAAAATGAACTTTGGCTTTTTTAGCCATTCAAATATGCGAAGAGCAAAGGTGCGATATACTTGGATGATTGGATGAATCCGATGATGCTGGGCAATATTGACATATCGCTCATTTATTCAATGAGTGGCATTATTAAAAAAAAAATTCGTTTTCTGTGTTAGCGTTTTATACATTTTTTCACGAATCATTCTTATTTATTTTTTTAAGACTTTCACGTTGATATCAGTAGAACTTAAGGAATTATAGCTTTAAAATAGAAGAACGAAGAGTATATTGCGTGTATTTAATACTTCAAACCATGCTTAAACAGAATATTGAGAATCATGCAAATGGAAATTGGAATTTATTAAATCTGGATTTGGAACACATACTACCACAAATATTACAAAAAAATATATATTTCAAACGAGTTCGTGTCGAAAACTCATCAAATTGACATTGTTTGTTTTTCATGAAAACGAAAATTCGATGGAAATCGAAAAAATGGCCCAAGGCCATATAACAACATCACAATCTGTTTGAGATTCTATATACTATGGTTACAGATTTGGTTTGTTCAGAGATTCATAATGAAATTGGATTTATAATGAAAATCCCCGAAAAAGGCAGTTTTTTGTGCAAAATCCTAAATACTAAAAATCGCTAAACATAAACTCACACTCCATTTGAATTTATGCAAAATAGTTACATAACATTTTGCATAGATTCAGGTGGATTGTAACTTTAACCTTAAAATTTATTTTTTGTGAGTTTGGGTGTATTCAGAGGCCTACAGATGAACTATTATGGTGAATATTTTGACCATATCTTAATTAAGTTTTTTTGACACTTTTGGAGAAAAGACCCTTAAATCTGTCTCTAATTATTCGACTGCTGATTAATTTGAAAAATTCCCTGATTTTTGCGCGTAATATTGCCACAGAAAATGTATACCTAAAATGCATGGCTTCCAAGGATTCTCGAAAATTTTCAAAAATGTAATAATAGATACAACTCGCCTGCTTAATTTTGGTAACCTTCCTAAGCACGTGTGTTTTCTTTTCTTTTGTAAATTTAGAAAAATGTGAAATTTGCTGCACTTGGTGATGGCGGGTTACCTTCTTTACTGCACAATAAAATATAAAAAAAAAATATGTAAAAACTTTTCCATTTTTTGGATATTTTTTTCAATAATAGAAAAGTGTTTTTTCGTCAACCATTTTGTCAAATGGTTTAAATGATAACCTTGCCGTTCTTTCGGGTCAAACCCCGGTAACCCGAAAGAACGGCAAGGTTATCATTTAAACCATTTGACAAAAATACCTATCTAACCTATGTTAAACTTCCTTTTCTTATTCCGATCTTCATGAAATAAATACCTAAATAATATGATCAATGTGCATTAATCTTTTGAATTGAATTTTTTTTGTCAGCACCTTTATCTGAAATCAAATTTAAATATTCAAAAGGGCTGAAATGTGTATTAGACCCAAACATTCTACCATCAAATCTGTAAAGTTATCTGCAAAGAAAGTTAGATTTCTGTACACCAATATTTCTAACGGGGTATTCATAGAAATATCCGGCAGCACCTTTCTCATCGACTGCTCGAACAAAACTAAACTAAACTAAATTCTATCAAAAGTATTTTGTCAGAAAATTCAAAACAATTTATTTTTTACAATTGTATTGGTGAACACACAGATATCCCATGGGACTCTCTGTGCATAACCAAGTTACAGTATTTGTCATAATCTTTCCTGGATGCAGAGATAGGGCTCTTTGAAACCTCACAACCCTGTTCTGTTCAGTATTTCTGACACTATTTCAATTCCATAAAACAATAGGATATGGGTAGGTTTAATCTTGATTTTAGAGGGATATTTACGTTGGGGAAAAACTGCTTCGTAAAGAAGGACAGACCCTTTCAAAAAATATTTTTATATTGGTCTTAAAGAAAAGTTGACCGTACATTATATTTATCAAGCATCTACTTTGTTTCACAAGTACAGGGTTGCTCATATTCGACGGACCTTTGGGCCCATTCCAATCTACGAGGCTTGTCCGCAGGCAACATTCTTTGCCTCAATTGAATTTTGTACGGGAAAAAATGCAAATCAATGCGAATAATCCGTTGTAAAGTGGACCAAGCCATGCCCAACTGTTGAGAACGGCGTTTTTGGGATGTTCTTGGGGACCTCTCAACACTGGCTCGTACGGCGCCTTGGTCGACTTTTATATGGCCTTTTCGTATTAGAAAGAGCCTTACCAGTCGAAAATTTTTCGTATAAACGCTTAATGGTGTTCTTAGAAGGCGCACTTCTCACATTTTTTAATGTTTTAAAAGCACGTTGAGTTTTCACAATTGACTTCTCGTAAATGTCAACTATTTCAGAGAGCTCGCGTGACGTGTATTGGTTCATGGTAAAAATCCGCTTGGACTGACGCTTCAAATGCGGTATGTCATTAAGCGATGTGACATCTCTGTCAAAAGTTGTGGCTTCGCCAGATGGGTCCGTCGAATACGGGCAACCCTGTAGACGCTATTAACTAGCAAGGCTACATCATAGACTCCGTCTTTGTGGTGATTATGGCTAACGTATTAATGGACGTCCAACATGAACATCAAGAACCATAGTTGTTAATACTGTTATCCAACAATAAAGGAATTCACGGTCTTCAGAGGCTCCTTTAGATCAGTCACATAAAGTAGGAACAAAATCGGACCTAAATTAAATATATAAGCCTTTTACTATTAAGGCCATTTCAGAAGTTTATCGTCCATTGACATTTGTTTCTCGTTTTTTTTTTCATTTAGCATTTTTGTGACACATTTTAATTTGTAGCAATTTTCATGAATAACGAACGAACAACAACGTGCTAGAACTAGTTGCTTGTATAGTTCACGTACTCGACTGTTCGTTCCAGGCATTTGCACTATTTTTACTGCCTTCATGAGCTACAAATATTTCATCAGTAAATGTTAGCGAATGCAGTTTGTATGTTTTGAATGAAAATGTGAAAAAATCTCGGTAGTGAAGTGGGATCCGCTCTCTCCACATGCAAATTATCGCAACATGACATAATATTTTTGTTATATTGAAAAATTTACGATTTAGCCCATGTTATATTTCGGAGTTGTAACATAGTCCCTTGTTCTTTTGCTAAGTCAATAAAAATATATTAATTTAAAAATTCTGTTACCTTTTGCGCTTGCTTTGTATTAGTTAATATATTACACTTATGTCGCACAAGATATTTTTGTATGTTTCGTGGCCGATTCGAAGATCTGAATATTTTGTATTCATGAGCAACAACTTGCTCTATGTACCGATTCAAGTCGAGCGAAGTTCAGTTAAAGCCGACAATTCGATAGTATAACAACCACAGGAGTGGTTTTATTTTGTTTTAGTCAGTTGCCAATTTGCATAGATTACCCCAAGGACATACCTCAATCAAACATTCCTTGGGGTTTAAATGTTGGCAATACATGGTGTGCCACTATTGCCACAACTTCACTTGCACTCTCTTTGCTTTGACCGTGTTCGTGCGGTCGCAACTCCAACTAAATTTTCTTTTTGATGCAATTACTCATAGCATCAACCGCAAATAAAATCTCTTGTTATAGCTGTTTTGATGTTGTAGCTTGTTCTTTTTATGATGTATCCCCCCCCCACTGCGTCCCACCATCCTTTTAGCCATTTGGCCTATTCAACTGGTAACATAGTGTACACAATGTAGAGTAATGCGAGTGTAAGTGTGTGTGTGCGTTGTTTCACGAAGTTTCCAACACAACCGCAAGACGACTGACTGGTCATCCATACACACATATTCGCCAGAGAGGAAAGAAGTCATAAACTGTTTGATACTTTTAAAATTTTCATTATAGCCAAAGTTGGAGGCAATGCTAGTTCCGCAACTTGTCCTCCCGCCCGCTTAACTTTCGCTGAGGCACATTTACATGCATTCAAGTTCCTTTAACTTCGACACAGTTTCTCGTAAGTAATTTGGTCGTCTGGACTGGGTTACCTCCGACACTAGTCCGTATTACGCGTGTAATCAGATTTGGGCTCCTCGGGCGCAAAACATCCTCCTGAGCGGGGCAATGGGTTGTTCACCTAGTGGTTTCAGTTGGCATTGTTCATTTAGGTTCACAGTTACAATTTGAATAGAAACTTTTTGCTCAACTTCAACTTTTGCCAACAGTTAAGTGAATTTGACGAAAACGTGTTTAAGGTCTTAACAGCACACTCGTCAACCCCCTTGCCTGTGGAGCGAATTATTCAGCGCCATAAAACTTGGGGGGCTGTAGAACACTCATAGACATGAGGATCTCTTAGTGGCGCTGGCGGAAGATTGTCGTTGCCGTTGGCATTAGCTTAAGCCTAAATGATGCCACCCTGTCGATGTGTCGGAATGACAAGAGTGTTGGCCTTCGTTCCCGCTAAGCCTCTTCAATAGAATAACTTTTGTTTTAAACACTTAATACCTTGCGGCATTCCTCACTCGTTTGGCTGTTATTGGTGTTGAGTTGAATAGCGAAACGAAAACGGCGAAGAAGAATAAAAAACGCAAAAACGAAATATTTAAACATAAACAACATGCTAGCGCTCCGTTCTGCTCTTCTCTACTGGTGTAGTTTTCTATGCGACAGAACAATGGAACTCTGTGTGTAAAAGTGAAAGTTGTCATCTGTCCCTTCGCACGTCTGCCAGCTGCCCGCCTGTCCCTCTCGTGGCACGTCGTGTCGCAGATATTCTAAATGTTGCAATTCATTA